AATAGCAATAGCTTTAGCAATAGCAATAGCAATAGCAGTTAGACTTATATACCGCTTCATAGGGCTTTCAGCCCTCTCTAAGCGGTTTACAGAGTCAGCATATTGCCCCCACAGTCTGGGTCCTCATTTTACCCACCTCGGAAGGATGGAAGGCTGAGTCAACCATTGAGCCGGTGAGATTAGAACCGCTGAACTGCAGATAACAGTCAGCTGAAGTGGCCTGCAGTACTGCACCCTAACCACTGCGCCACCTCGGAACATAAGACAGTCTCGGCCAGGGGTGAAATGCTACCGGTTCGCCCAAACTGATAGTAAAAAATGCCACCGGTTCAGTATTTCCAACAATCAGCTGGGCTACGATCAGCTGTGACGCGCAATTTATATTAGCTGGAATCGTCGGATTTCCTGCTTTCTAGTTAATCTAAATCGCGTGGCACAGCAGATTCCAGGCTGTTCTACTTGCCATTGCAGACTCGGAAAGCTTCAATATGTTCCTTTTTTAGTGCTGCGTGGGCGTGCCCACATACAAAATGCTCAGTAGCAGACTCCTTGAACTGGTAGCAGACTTCAGAGGATTTCACCGCTGGTCTCAGCTGACATTTTTCATAAAAAAATGGGGCCTACGCTAATCAATGTGTATTTCTTTTTAAAATTGTGGTTAAGCAGAAAACAATACAGTACAATCGCGTAGTTTATTTCCTCTTCTTGCATATTCTTTGCCGGAACTTTAAAAAGAACAAACTACATCGTGTTTGCTGTCATTTGGCAGCGCGCAAAGTCGCTTTCCGGTCCCCGCAATGTTCAATAATCCAGTTGTCAAGTCGATTTCTTTAATCGGTAGGAAAGCAACGAAGAAAGCATCAGCATCGCATTGTTAAATCAGGAAAAAGACGGATCCTTTTTTTCTGGAATCCATCAATGCTTCTGAATGTTTAATTTCGTTTCCTTAATCGTTCCTATCTCCTCTTGTAATAACTTTGATTATTTGTCCAGCCCAACACACCCACGGCTCAACCTTAACCACAAAAATTACTGAAAATAAGCTTTATTACATTAAGTAATAAATACATACAAAGAGGCAAAATTGCAATTTTGGGGGGGGGGATGGGTTGTGGAAAACTCATGCAAAGGAAGGGACCTTTTAAAAGATAACGTTTATGATCTGCGTGCCAAAGGAATAGTAATCCGGACGATTATGGCGCTCGAAGAGCAGATGGCAGGGAACATTATAATTCTTCCAGCTTAAAAACAATTCCTGAAACGGTTGAGTTGGGAGGCAAGTTAATTTGGGGCAATTAAGGCAACTTTTTCCACCCCCTGAAAAAAAAAAGGCTTACTCTGCAAATCTTAAGTATTTACCTGGGTGCGTTTCTGCAGAATTCTGGGGTTTGGGGTGGCTGCCCCAGAGCTCATTGGTGTAACGGTATGGATTTCTCCTCCACGCACGCCAAACCATTGATGCATTGTGTAGAAAAACGTCAGTAACGCAGCGGGATTTCTGATAAGGGAGCCTGTCCAGCTTCATTTCAGCCAGGGATCTCTAGAAAGCTGCAAGGAATCTTTCCGCTGACCCCGAGCGCAGACTTGAGAACTGGACCTTAAGAGGGGCGCGAGGTCTGGAAAGCGATTGCGGAAAGTTTGAGAGGGGATGTTGGGTGCAGATGACAGCTTAAAAGAGGCAAAGCTTGTTCCCGATTAGGGGCAGAATTTGGGTAGAAAAAGAAGGAAAAAGAAACTTCCAGCCCTCGGAACAATTTGCGTTCTTTCAAGGGGTGGTTGGTGGGTTTTTCGTCGTTGTAGGATGGATAAATCCAGGATGGTGCTTGCAGAAACGGTCCGAAGTCAGTTTGTGAGAGGATAGGGGAAAAAAACGTCTGAATGGGAGCAGGAATTCAACGGGGCACAGAAATCTTCGGCCACCCCGTCCTTGCAAAGGGAACTATCCCAAACTAGAAAGAAGAGGTGCGGAATTGCCAGATGGAAGGATCGGTCTGTGTTTTTCCAGAGGAAGGGATCTTTTTAAGATCTTGCATTTCTCTCCGTCTCTGCTAAACATTCTCGGACCAGGCCTCTGGCGTGAATGATACCTGGGAATATAAATAAAATAATAATAATAATGTTGTCATATAACTCCTTGTGTAGGTGGGGTGGTCTCCCATGGCCCAGTGCATAACAGGGCATGCGCAGCCACGCTGAACCACACAGGAAAAAACAAACTCC